CACCTCTCTCCCTTCCCCTCCTCCTTCTTTCAGTCCCACCGTTGCAGCTGCCGCTGGGGGGGGAGGGTGTGAGGATGTGGGGGAGCAGGGGGAGTGGTACCGGGGTGGCGGGTGTGAGGCAACATGCAGCCGTCCCTCCACCACTCCTCACTTGCAGCAGTGTGGGGGAGGGGAAGGAGGAGGGTGAGGAGATGGAAGGGGTACCTGCTGTTGCTTGCTATTCTTTTGAATGGCGTAACTACATATCTACCTACAAGCATTATGGGGGCGTGTCGAAATATATTTGTCATGTTTTATAACTGCTTGTAGTTGTAGTTAGTGTAGTTATTTAAACTGTTATTGGTGGTGCACCTTATTTGGTTTCTATGCTATATGTACCCTTGAACCTATAGTGAAACCATCTCTTTTCTCCAATTCTTCTCCCAACTCACTCGATACCTCGCCTAGGAGAAACCTACTCGACACCTAAGTTCGGGCCTAGGCTCCTAAGCCTAGGCCCTCGTTTTCAACTTAACTCTACACTCTCGTTAAACTCTCGACACTGTGCTGCGGGGAGAGAATATTAACTCCACGGAACGCACGACCCTTTTCTACGCTCCTTAGTACTTTGCCCAGCTTCTCAGGTACCTGAATAATTTCTAAAGGCTTTTTCTTGGCCTCTAAACCTCCCCTGAATTTTTTCAAGGCTTGAAAACCACGAGAAGCAATATTCTTCGTTAGAGCATCTTTATAGGATACTTTTAACGAATTCTTACTTTCGTGGGTGCTCGGCTGGAGTTTCCCGGTCGGTGCAGGGTCTTTCTTCGCGGAGCCTCCATTCGCCTTGGCGATTTCCCCTGATGCCGGCCAGTCGTGACGTTTTAGATTCGCGCCATCATTTTCTCCTTTTTTTCATCCGCTCCGAAGTCGCCACGTCGTCGCCTTTTCCTGCTTTTGGGATCTTTACGCGATCGTCAGGTCGATCCGCGGCTACTGGCGATTCCCATTTTTTACTTCGGGGGTGCTCCACTGTTTCCGTCCCGGAGTGCCGCACGTGCTTTTTTCATTTTGTAGCACGACAAAAACTGATGTCCGGCTGCGCCGCAAAATTCGCATTTTGTCGGCTGCTGCTTCGCGTCGTATTTGTCGACATCCATCGGTTCGGCGAACGTGGGGGGTGCCGATCGCTCCGAGCCAAATGTACGGTTCGGCGTGAAGCGTCGTGTTTCGAGTCAACCTCGAGTCAGCGCATTGTATCGCTCGGCAGCACACACGATGTCTTTGTAGCTGTTGTAATTCGCCGCAATCACCTGCCGCCGAATCTCCATTTTTAACCCTTTGGTGTACGCCTGGATTTTTTCGCCTTCGGTCAGGTCGGTGATGCGGTTGAAAAGTAACTCCATCTGCTGCGTGTACTGTGTTACACTACTGTATTGCTTGTGTTGGTGTATCTGCTGCCGCACCATGTAGGTTGTATTAATTGGTTCGAAACGCTCGATTAAATCTGCCCGAGACTGCTGTCACGTTTTCTCCCCGTGGGCTATGTCGGTGTAGTGTCGCTGCGAGCCGAATTCTTGCTGCGTCGTGTTGCGGGGTCGAACAGCCAATGGCCTCGAAGTAAATTTCAAAGGTTCCGCGGGTCGCGAAGCGTCCCGAACAGATCCTTACCGAATTCGGTAGAAGGCAATTCGGTGGCAACCGAAAAGGCCAGAATTCGGTGCACGCAACCTAGCTCGGTGCTGTAACTATAATAAAATATAGGAAAGCACCTAGCCTAGGAAATCAAGCAATTCACGCATGCATATGATTATCCTATGCTAGAAATAGCATGATAAAGTAAGTCAAGCAAGCATAGCTGGCATAAGCCGTCGTACTCACACACTCCCTTCCTGCCCTTCCTGACTCGGAGTCTGACACTCTTCATGCTGCTAGTCCCACTTTCACGCGTCTCCTGGCCACTGCTGTCACTGACCCTTCCTTTGAGTCAGCTGCTTCGTCTGCCCTAGTTGCTGAGCTTGTCGACTTTGCTTCTCATTGTCGTCTAGACTACGCTGCCGGTCTTGTTGTTGAGTCTGAGTCTGTCTGTCCTCCGTCCGTCAGCACAGCTTTCTTGCAGGGCAGTCTACATGAGGAGATCTGGATGCGCCGCCCTCCTGGCTTCACTGGGTCGTTCCCTCCTGGTACCTAGTGGAGCCTCTGGCGGCGGGTCTACGGTCTCCATCAGGTGCCACATGAGTGGCACGACACACTGAGGACTACACTTGCGGCTCTTGGGTTCGCGCCTTCTACTGCTGACCCGTCGCTGTTTCTGCGCACCGACACCTCGCTGCCGCCATTCAACATCCTCGTATATGTCTACGACTTGGTCTTTGCCACTGCTGATACTGAGGCTCTCGCCCACGTGAAGTCGGAACTGTAGAAGAGACACACGTGCACAGACCTGGGTGAACTGCGTAGCTACCTTGGTTTGCAGATCACCCGGGTCACAGCACGCCGCACCATCACACTTACTCAGTCACACATGGTGCAGCAGGTCCTTCAGCGCTTTGGCTTCACCTGGTCCTCAGCACATGCCACTCCTCTGTCTACTCGCCACTCGCTCTCAGCTCCACCTTCCGTAGAGCCGAGTGGTCCTTACCCAGAGGTAGTTGGCTGCCTCATGTACCTGATGACTTGCACTCGTCCTGACCTCGCGTACCCTCTTGGTCTACTGGCTCGCTACGTGGCTCGTGGTCGGCACCGACCTGAGCACATGGCTGCCGCTAAGAGGGTACTGCACTACTTGTGCAGCACATGAGGCATGGGGCTAGTGCTTGGAGGGAAGAGCCCGGGCACTCAGACGCTTCTTGGGTTGACGACGAGGCTACTCATCGGTCGTCACAGTGTTACACCTTCAGCCTTGGCTCTGGTTCAGTTTCTTGGTGTTCTACACGCTCTTCCTCAGTTCTCAGCTCCAGTTGTGAGGCTGAGATCTACGTCACAGCCATGGCTGCATAGGAGTTACGTTGGCTCACCTACCTGCTGACCGACTTGGGAGAGCGGCCTCGTTCCCCTACAGTGCTGTACGTCGACAACAAGGCTACCATTGCCTTGTGTGAGGAGCACAGACTGGAGCAGAGAACGAATCACATTGCTCTACGTTACTTCCTAGCTCAAGAGTTGCAGCAGCGTGGTCAGCTTCGTCTGCGTTACGTGGCCACTCGGGCCAACACTGCTGATATATTCACCAAGGCACTTCACGCTGGTGGTCATCAGCGTTTCTGCACTATGCTAGGGCTTGTGCCCACTTTTCCTCACTTGCTGTAGGCTTTGCTTGTACTGTGATCTATATATATATACCTGCATGTTTGCATTGCTAGGTAGAGATCACTCTACTGTTCTTGCTGCATATATACCTCTGCATGTGGACTGGCCTTGTGGCCCTTTGCTTGTGCTCATAGTGTGTGGTGACGTTGTGATCCACCCTGAGCTTGCTTTGTCTTTCTTGACTGGTCTTGTGACCTCTTGCTCCCCCCCACTTTGCCTATGGGGGTGTGTCAAACATATATATGTGATATGTTGCAGTTATTGGTAGGTTATAGTGGGGTAGATTCTGTGGGGTATAACCCCTTAGGGTTTTTCCTACTTGTGAATCGCTCTCGATAGTTGAATTCATCCTTCTCATTCTAACACAGCACCCCCAAACTCAGCACCCCCAAGCTCTGCACCCGCACGCTTAGCACCCCCAGGCTCCGCACGCTCAGACTCAGCACCCCCATTCTCTGCACTTGCAGGCTCAACACCCCCAGGCTCCGCACGCTCAGAATTAGCACCCCCAAACTCCGCACCCTCAGACTTAACAACCCCAGACTCAGCACCCCTAGGCTCCGCACGCGCAGGCTCAGCACCTCCAGACGCAGCACCTCTAGCAGCACCCCCCCAAGCAGAAACCGAGTCGACAGCTACCTCGATAGGCTCACCTAAGGGGAGTGGGTCTACCTGAGACCCACCTGAGGGAGCAGGACCCTGAGGGGGGAGGGGGTCTACCGGAGGGCGACCTGGTGCGAGGAAAAGTGGCAGGGGAGGGAGAGGGGTAGTGCGGTAGGGGAAGAGATGGTAAAAGGGAACCGACTCGTCCAACGTGACGTTCTGAGATGGCAGGACATGGCGCGAGGTGGGGTGGTAAAACTGTCGGTCAGGCGCGTCAAGGGTAAAGCAATCGAAGACACACGGAATAGCGTGGGAGGAGAGCTTGTCCGCGGTGTTATCGCAAACAAAGGCATGAGATCCCCACACCCGGAACACCAACACATCGCCAACCTCTCCTGTCCAACGCAGTGTCGGCGAGGTCTCCAGCAAGGAGACACGGGGCCCGAGGTTGAGCTGATGCGCAACGTACCGTACCACAAACGGCCACAGAAAATGGGGAGTAGCCGCAAGGGCAGCGTGCGGGCTGCGGAGAGTGGCGCGTGGGCTGCCAGGGCAGACGCGACGGGCAGGGGCAGGGCTGAGCGCTAGCAGCATGGCGGCGCACGGGCTGTAGAAGGCGGCGCGCGGGCAGGCAGGGGCCGCGCGTGGGCCCTAGGGTGACGCGTCGGGCAGGGCAGGGGTGGCGCGCGGGCCCTAGGGCGACGCGACGGGCAAAGCAGGGCATCGCGCGGGTCCTAGGGCGACGCGATGGGGAGGCAGGGGTGGCGCGCGGGCCCTAGGGTGACGCGACAGGTAGGGCAGGGGCGGCGAGCCGGCCCTAGGGTGACGGAACGGGCAAGGCAGGGTGTCGCGCGGGTCCTAGGGCGATGCGACGGGCACATTGCTGTGAGTGCCATGCTCACATTGCTGTCACTTGCATCCCACACCGCCCCTGCTATCACCCTGCTGTCACCCACTCTGCCCCTGCTGTCACCTGCTCTACCCCTGCTGTCACCTGCTCTGCCCCTGCTGTCACCTGCTCTGCCCCTGCAATAATCATTCGCTCGCATCCGTGGCATGGTCACCACCTCCCCACCTTTTCTTCCCTCCCCCCTGCCTCCCCAGCGATGTGCATGTACGAGGTGCAGTCTAACGCGCTCCAAATCCATACATGCTGTGCCCCCCCCTCCTTGCGTGTCCCCTACCCATGTGTCCCCTCCCCCTGTGTCCCCTCCCCATGTGTCCCCTCCCCATGTGTCCCCTCCCCGTGTGTCCCCTCCCCGTGTGTCCCCTCCCCGTGTGTCCCCTCCCTCCCCGTGTGTCCCCTCCTCGTGTGTCCCCTCCCCGTGCGCCCTTTCCCTGCGCTCCTCCCCCTCAGGGACATGCACGGGTGCAACCTAACTAGCCTCATCCCAGCCACAGTGGGGTGCCTTTTGAGCCTCAAGTACTTTCTGGTCAACCAGAACCGCCTCTTGGGGTCCATCCCAAGCACAGTGAGCGCGCTGCAGCAGCTGTACATGTGGGACGTCATGGACAACCTTATTTGCTGCACTGTTCCATCCTTTGGGGGCGCCAGCGAGCTCGTGCACCTGTGCGTGGGGTGGGGGTGGGGGTGGGGGTGGGGGTTGGGGTTGGGGTGGGGGTGGGGGTGGGGGTGGGGTGGGGCTGCATCTGTACATGTGGGACATCATGGACAACCACATTGAAGGGGTTGGGCCCTGTGCGTGGCGTGGGGGTGGGCTTGTGGGTGTGGGGTGGGTGTGGGTGTGGGTGTGGTAAGGCTGTGGAAAGGCTTTTGTATGGGTGTGGTGTAGGTGTGGTGTAGGTGTGGTATGGGTGTGGTATGATTGTGGCAGGGGTGTGGTATAGGTGTGGCATGGGTGTGGTATAGGTGTGGCATGGGTGTGGTGTAGGTGTGGCATGGGTGTGGTATAGGTGTGGCTTAGGTGTGGTATAGGTGTGGCATGGGTGTGGTATAGGTGTGGCATGGGTGTGGTATAGGTGTGGCATGGGTGTGGTATAGGTGTGTGGCCGGATGTGCAAATGAATGGGGTGCACGTCTGAGTGTGATCCACCTTTCCTCTCCCATTAATGAGATGAGACCTTGTAACCAGCACAAGTAGGTTCTCTTTTGCGCGCTTGCCTGTCTCTTGACTCTCGTCCCTTTATGCCTGTCTCCTGATGCTTGTCCCTTGACGCTTGTCCCTTGACGCCTGACGCTTGTCCCTTGACGCTTGTCCCTTGACGCTTGTCCCTTGACGCTTGTCCCTTGATGCTTGTCCCTTGATGTCTGACCCCTTCATTCCTCACTACTTTCTTCCCCCTCCCCACTCTCTCGCCCCTCAGCCACTTGAGTCGCAACCTGCTCAGCTCAGTGCCGGATCACATCGGCTGGCTGCCCAAGCTAGAGCACGTGTGAGTGCCACCATGCAGCACATTGCGTTCCAAGCATTGATGGTTTTATGCGTGCCTGCAACACATTGGCACACCTCTCACAGCTCAGACCGTCACCTCACGTGTTTCACGCAACGTCCAATCCCATTCATCCAAATAGTAGCCTCCCCACATCTCTCACCCATCCCTCCCACCATCCCACCTTTCCATGCATTCCGGGGCAAGCTGGTGGACAGCAACCAGCTCCGATCCCTTTCATCTGAACCCTGTCCTCTCCCCCCATCTGTGACCCCATCTGTGACCCCATTTGTGACCCCACCCTCCCTTCACCTCGCCATGCATCCCAGGCTGGTGGACGGCAACCGGCACACCCATCCTAATCTGTCTTTCCCACTTTCTCCTCCCCCCAATCCCCCCCCCCACCGCATCTCAGGCCGGTGGATGGCAACCAGCTGCAGCATCCCATCCCAACAACCTTCAACAACACCAACCTCACTATCATGTGCGTGCCACCAACCTCACTGTCATGTTCGGGCCACCAACCTCACTGTCATGTGTGTGCCACCAACCTCACTGTCATGTGTGTGCCACCAACCTCACTGTCATGTGCGTGCCACCAACCTCACTGTCATGCCACTCATGCAGGTATGCATCGCACTCACTGCCCCTTGCTTGCACTCACTATCCTTTGCACTCACTACCCCTTGCACTCACTACCCCTTGCACTCACTACCCCTTGCACTCACTACCCCTTGCACTCACTACCCCTTGCACTCACTACCCCTTGCACTCACTACCCCTTGCACTCACTACCCCTTGCACTCACTACCCCTTGCACTTACCCCTTGCACTCACTACCCCTTGCACTCACTACCCCTTGCATTCACTACCCCTTGCACTCACTACCCCTTGCACTCACTACCCCTTGCACTCACTACCCCTTGCACTCACTACCCCTTGCACTCATTGCCCCTTGCACTCATTGCCCCTTGCACTCATTGCCCCTTGCACTCGATACCCATTCCAGCTATGCAGATCTTGCTAAGGCTGAAACCAAACCATGCCTCTCTCTACGTATGCTCATGTGCGCTCCCCTCCCCCACACCGCTTGCACCCTGTGGCACCCCTCTCCCACAGCTACTGGAGCAACAACCTGCTGCCCAGCCTACCCACCACGTGGTTCCTTCCCAAGCTCAGGGACTTGTGAGTGCTGCCCCTCGCTCACGGACTTAGGGGTTATGCATGAGAGGTGAGGGCAAGTATGAGAGGTGAGGGCAAGCTTGAGAGGTGAGGGCAAGCATGAGAGGTGAGGGCAAGCATGAGGTGAGGGCAAGTATGAGAGGTGAGGGCAAACATGAGAGGTGAGGGCAAACACGAGAGGTGAGGGCAAACATGAGAGGTGAGGGAAAACATGAGAGGTGAGGGCAAACATGAGTGGAGACACCTAACATTTGCATTTTTTGTCCATACATGTGCATCCGCGCATGTGTCCATGTGTATGTGTGTCTATTTGTGAGTGTGCGCCCGCATGTGTGCACGCGTCTGTATCTGTGTTTCTGTGCGTGCCTGTGTGTTTGCGTGTGTGTGCGTGCGCGCGCGCGCGTGTGTGTGTGTGTGTGTGTGTATGTGTGTGTGTGTGTGTCCCTTTACATGTCCCTCTCTCCCCGTGCATCAGTGTCGTCAGTGACTGTTCGCCACCACCCCAGGAGCTGCCATCCTTCCCGCTCTCTACCGACCTTGCCAACCTGTGAGCACAACTCCTCTCATCCAACTCGTTTCATCCATCTTTCGAACTAGCTTCCTTGCCCACCCTAGCAAGCATACTCTCAGTTATTCTCCCACACTTCAATTAAACTCCCACCTTCCACCCACACTCCTGCCCACCTCAATCCCACCTCCTCCCCTCTCCCCCTTTAACCCCCCATCACCACCCCCAAACCCCCACCTTAAGCGACCTGAGCAACAACTTCATTGGTGGCATTCCCGCAACTCTCTTCCAGCAAAACCCCAACCTCATCAACCTATAAGCATCTCACCCTCTTGCATCCCCATGCACACTTTGCACCATTTAGTATCACTTTGCAAGGTAAGAAATTGCAGCTGTTTTTTTCTTAAACTACTCTGCAATTTCTCACAGGAGCGATACCGCATTTTACAATATATAAAATTTATATGAAAAAGAAAACCACCTCCAACCTGCATTGGAAAGTATTTCCCCTATCCAAGTGCTGCTGCGAGTGTTTCCACGCTGCAGCCACCGCTGTCGTGGCCTCATCAGACGCGTTTGGTGTCGTGGCCTCATCAGGTGCGTCAGGTGCGCGCAGCGCCTCCAGAACCAGCAAGGACGGCACCAGTGCCCCAAGCGGCAGCACCAGCGCCAGCAGCACCTCCAGCTCCAACAGCGCAAACTCCAGCACCCTCAAAAGCACCAGCGCCAGTAGCACCGCCAGCGCCAATACCCCCAGCAGCTCCAGCTCCAGCAGCACCAACTCCAGTAGGACCGTCAGCACCAGCAGCCTCAGCAGCACCCCTAGACGCACCAGCGCCAGTAGAAACACCAGCGCCAACACCCCCAGCAGCTCCAGCTCGAGGAGCACCAGCACCGCCAGCAGCTCCAGCAGGACCAACTCCAGTAGCCCCAGCAGCACCCCCACTCTCAGCAGCACGTCTCCAGCAGTGGGCAAACCACTCGCGTAGCTCCTGTGGAGAGAGCGGCTCCCACCTCGACGAAGCACCGCCGGCGGCCACACGAGCAGACCCAGCGCCCCCAGGCTCCACACCCCCAGGGTCAGCACCCCCAGGCTCAGCACCACCAGACCCAGCACCCCCAGGCTCAGCACCCCCAGTCTCAGCACCCCCAGACTCAGCACCCCCAGGCTCAGCACCTCTAGCAGCACCAGAGTCAACAGCTACCTCGACAGGCTCCACTGCGTCTACCAGGGACACACCTGATGGGGAAGGACCCTGAGTGGGGAGGGAGTCTACCGGGGGAGGACCTGGCGCAAGAAAGAGCGGCGGCGGGGGGAGGGGCGCAGTGCAGTAGGGGAAGAGACGGTAGTAAGGCACCGACTCGTCTAACGAAGACGCATCGCCAACCTTCCCCGTCCACCGCAAGGTGGGGAAGGTCTCTGGCAAGGAGACCCGCGGCTGAAGGTTGAGCTGATGCGCTGCATACAGAATCGCAAACGGCCACAGAAAATGGGGGGCAGCCGCATGGATCATGGACGTACGAGCGATGTCCATGACCATGCCAATGTGGCGCTCAGCAATCCCATTTTGCTGTGGAGAGGCCGGAAGCGTGAAGGTCTGGCGGATGCTCTGTGCACGACAGAAGGCTCCCAGATGGGCAGAGGAAAACTGCACGCCTCTATCCGAGTGCAGACGCAAAAAAGGAAAGTCCGAGCCGAAACTCTCCCTGAGCTGGAGACGAGCTGCGCGGATCCAGTCGATCAACACCTCAGTGACGTCACCCTTGCTGCGCAAGAGGAAGACCGTGGTGTAACGCGAGTAGTCGTCAACCACCAGTAGGAAGTACCGCTCGCGCCCCTGCCCCCTGACACGGGCGGGGCCCCACACGTCCAAGTGGAGAGTCTGCAGCGGAGCTTCTGTCGGAGGAAACTTGGAGGAGTGAGGGGCGGCGCGCTGTCGCCCCTAGACGCAGGGGACGCAGGTAGGGCCAGGCCCCGGAGGTAGGGGAGGGAGAGACTGAGGGAGACCAGAGACAAGGACACGGGAGGCCATGCCTCGGAGACGAGGCAGGGAGGGGTGACCAAGGCGGTGGTGCCAGAGGAGAGTCTGGTGGGACACGAGACGACACGAGCAGGGAGCAGACTGAAGACCAGACCTGGACGCTGCAGCAAACACCTGACTTGACGCAGCTACCTGGGCAGACTCAGCAGCCGGAGGAGACTTAGTAGTAAGGGTGTACAGGCTTGACCATTGCCGACGGTTGAACATGGCCAAGTGTCGGCCTGTCCGAGCACACGTGCAGTGGGTCACTCGCTGACTCGCAGGAGTGAACTGGTCAACCCCCCTATCCTGTAGGTCCGCTCTACTCACCAAGTTCGTAGAGAACGAGGGGAGGTAGAGATCAGACAGGGTGCCAGAGGGGGCTGCCGGGCACGGTAGGACAGTGGAGAAGCTAGTAAGGACAAGACCCACAGAGGGGTCTACCAGGGAGACTGCAACCGGCCGACTGAGCGGCGTAAGAGTGGTGCAGTCTCGAAAGAAGGAGCGGGACGCACCCGAGTCCAGGGTGAAGGTGTGGAAGGCCTGAGCCGACGTAGTACCTGAGAGAGCAGACTCACCAGCACCTGGGGCAGCAGACGCACTGGCACCTGGGGTAGCAGACGGACTAGCACCTAGAGCAGCAGCCTCACCAGCACCTAGAGCAGTGGCCTCAACGCCTGGGTCAGGCGGTACACACAGGTAACAGTCACCCTCAACACTATTAGTCACAGAATACATGGCAGCAAGGATAGCATCAAAGTCAAGATCAAAGATGGCAACCCCCGCCCTAGAAAGATCTCCCAAGCGAGGGATCTCTGACGCCTCAGGCAACTGGCAACGCCACGCGTCCGTGAGGCGAGCGAAGCAGCGCTGGGTGGAGTGCGGGCCCCCGCACTGCTCACCAGCTCGGTCACTGGTACGGAGGACGTAAGTGCAGGGACCTAAACCCCCAAAGCGCTGACGCGCAGTGTACCACTGACGAAGCTCTTGAGGGAACAGGGTCACACCACTCCGCTGTTGCTGGCGCAGACCACCACCTGAGCCACTCCTGTGCGCAGAGTCGCAAGCCGCTCCACCACCGCCGCCGCTGCCTCCGCCTCCGCCGCCTCCTCCACCTCCGCCTCCTCCGCCACCTCCGCCGCCTCCACTCCCTCCGCCACCACCGCCGCCTCCTTCGCCTCCACTGCTGCCGCCGCCGCCGCCACCCCCGGCACCACTCACACCACCACCCCCACTCCCTCCACTAGGGGGCCGCTGAAAGGGCGGCGACGGGGCCGCGGAAGGGGCGGCGACGGGGCCGCTGAAGGGCGGTGACGAGGCTGCAGTAAGGGGCGGCGACGGGGCCGCGGAAAGGGGTGGCGACGGGGCCGCCTAAGGGCGGCGACGGGGCCGCAGTAAGGGGCGGCGACAGGGCTACTGAAAGGGTGGCGACAGGGCCGCCTAAGGGCGGCGACGGGGCCGCAGTAAGGGGCGGCGACGGGGTCGCTGAAAGGGCGGCGACAGGGCCGCAGAGAGGGTGGCGCGATGGGGCCGCAAGGGCGGCGCGACGGTGCCGTAAGGACGGCGCGACGGGGCCACTAGGGGCGGAAAGAGGGGCCGCTAGAGGCCGCGATGGGGAACGACACGGGGCGCGACTCGGGCAGGGGCCAAGCGCGCTCCGGGCAGGAAAAAAAAAGTTCGGTGGGCACTAGGAACAGTTCCCACGAGGGAACCAGCTCTATACCATGTGAAGATTAGAACGAGAGAATGAATGCATTGAGCAGAATGAGGAGTACAAGTAGCAAACCCTAAAGTGTTGTATCCCATATGAACTGCCCCACTACAACCTACATAGACTATAGCATATATGCCTAACACGCATTCACAAACATGCATTCACGAACACTCAAGAACGTAACCTTTCACGAAGACTCACATAGCTCATAATTCGTTATGGCGATTCACAAGCCGTTAACGCACAAACACAAAGCACAAAAATGCGCATCTCACACACAACAAATTACCTTCAAACCAAGCACCTTACTTTTACTCAACGTCGGCGAGTATGTGGTAGGTTGTCATACAAACCATGTATTGCTTTCAACACCAACCACTTCGCATCAACTACAGTGAGGTGACGAATTTTCCCAACCCCTAATAGTCTTTACCCCATAGAGAGTCGCCCCATAAATTCTCAGAATCGTCACAACAAAATATAATAAAATGTACGAGCTTCAACCGTTCGCAATTTTCTCATTTTTTCTTCGGTTGAAACGATTCTTGGGTTATCAAAAATTTCTTGAGCAGGGAAGTCATTTCCGATATCTGCTCAAACAAAATGAGCTTCACACACACTCACATAATCTAAAGCATGTCAAACACAATCTTTACGCACGCGCACACCACGCATGCAAGTCAGAACAATGATGGGAGGCAGACAGGCGTAAATGCAAATGATAGCATCACACAACCTGTCAAGTTATAATATTGTGTAGGCTATAGTGGGGTAGCCCATATGGGGTACACATTTTCTAGGGTTGCATATTTGTATCACTTTCATTCCTTAGTCCATCATTCTCGTTCTACTTTCCACATGGTATCGAGCAGGTTCCCCCGTGGGAACTGTGCCTAGGGCCCACCACATCAAGAAATTTTTTTTCCTGCCCGAAGCGCGCTCCTCCCGAGTCGCGCCCCGGGCTCTCTCCTCTACGAGCCGCCCTAGCGGCCCCTCCGCCCTAGCGGCCCTCCCTCCCCTAGCGGCCCCGCCGCCTACTATTGCGGCCCCGCTGCCCGTTCGCGCGGCCCCGCCGCTCGCTTCGCAGCCCCGCCGCCCGTTAGCGCGGCCCCGCCGCCCGCATTCGCGGCCCCGTCGCCCTACTCACCGGCCCCGCCGCCCTACTCAGCAGCCCCGCCGCTCTTCTCCTGCGGCTCCGCCGCCCTTCTTCTGCGGCCCCGCCGCCCTACTTCGCGGCCCCGCCGCCCTACTCAGCGGCCCCGCCGCCCTGCTCCTGCGGCCCCGCCGCCCTACTTAGCGGCCCAGCCGCCCTACTCCTGCGGCCCCGCCGCCCTACTTCGCGGCCCCGCCGCCCTACTCCTGCGGCCCCACCGCCCTACTCCTGCGGCCCCGCCGCCCTGCTCCTACGGCCCCGCCGCCCTACTTCGCGGCCCCGCCGCCCTGCTCCTGCGGCTCCGCCGCCCTACTTCGCGGCCGCGCCGCTCTACTCCTGCGGCCCCGCCGCCCTACTCCTGCGGCCCCGCCGCCCTACTCCTGCGGCCCCGCCGCCCTGCTCCTGCGGCCCCGCCGCCCTACTTCGCGGCC